AGGTCCGGTTTCGCAGCCGACGAGCGCTGCGCCGCGCGCGCTGCGAAGGCGATGCGCGAGCGAAAGGAGGCGCGGCAGTGTGTGGATTTCAGCAGTCTTGGCCCCCCGCTCGTCACGATCTTCTTCCCGGCCGCGCGGGCCGCGATGGAGCTCGCGTCTCCTGAGGTGCAGGCCGACGCGGCAGAGTTTTATTGCGCTCGCTTTTGAAGGTGATCTACAGCCCTACGGCTGAAGGAAGACAGGGCGAAACTTGATGTATTCCGAGTTCGATGCATGAGGATAATTTTCAAGGTTTTGCCAGCGTAGTTGTCTAGAGTCAGCAACGCGGGCGTTCTTCATGCAGCGAATGAACATAGCCTATCTAGCACCTTCTTGCAACGCTAACTAGTGTTATAGTTATACGGTAGGCTCGCCCGGGAGCTCCCGAGCAGCCTCCCAAGATGTATGTTGCTTTCTGTTGGGGGCCATTCTTCTGCCTTGCCGCGATCACGGGGTAGCGCGCGAGCCCGAGGCAGGCCGCGCGTGCAATGGACGACGTGCATGCGCTATTCGCTTAGGAGTTGTTTGGGCGAAGCTTCAGTCGACTCCAAGGTTTTTTAGGCGACGAAGCGTCTTACAGCAGTACTCGTTAATTGTTTGGCCTCGGCCCCCCTTTCCAGATTGTCTGCAGGTTTTCGCATCGCGCCCCATGGGATACAGAGTCTTCCCATGGCAATCGACCGTTCAAGACGTGACATGCTTTTTTTGGTTTCGCATGTGCCCGCACGCCGCCGCCTGCCACTATTTTCCTTGCCAGTGCGCAGTCTGGGCGCGGCTGCTGTCTGCCTCGCTCATCCGCCACTTCTCGGTCAGGATGCCCGACGCCCGATGCCCTGGCTCCGAGAAGATGTAGGGCGAGGGGCGCCTGCAGTTCGCGGTGGCCCGGATCCAGAGGTCATGTGGTCAATGTCATGACGGGCGCGGCGCTCATGGACGCGAAGGCGACGCAGCTCTCGGGCACGGCGCCGAGGGGCCCGCTCGAGCGCCAGATCTCGTAAATGATGTCTCGCAAGGGCGGAGCTTCGAACAAGAGAATGTACCTGAGGGAGGCTTCCGCCAAAGGTACTAGTTTCGGGGAGTTGCTTCCAAGAGAGTGGATTCGGCCTGCTGTTCGTAATTCTTTAGATGCCTCTCTGATGATGACGGGAAGGGGGGCGTCGTCGTCGTGATAGGAGTACCAGCTGGCCGATTGGCCTGAGTACGGCATGGCGTTTGATGGTCCGTGTGGGCGGTTCGCCGCCGAGGACACGCGCCACATAGTCAACGCGTGTGTTGGCCCAACGAGGGAAGGCGCAGATCAGATGATCCCCCATGGATTCGGGAAACTGTCCTTCGATCAACGGTCGGCGCCGCTCCCAGTGGAGCGGGCGCGCCCCCCCCCCGAGAGCGAATGAGGCCGCGCACAAGTTCCAATTTGTTAATTGCTTTGACGAGTGCGCGGGCGGTGGGGTTGCAAAAGGTTTCACCAAGCAAGGTTCCCGTCTCCTCCCCTCCTCCTGCACCTTCTCCCCTTTTTCCCAACCCTCCTGCGTTGGGTACTCGTTTTGAATAGAGCACTGCGGTCTCCACCTTCCTTCCTTCCTTCCCGCCTCCTCCTCCTCTCTTCCCTCTTCCTCTCCTCTCTTGCTTCCCTTCTCCGCCTCTCTTCGCTCCTCTTCTCTGCTCTTCTCTTCTCTGCTCTTGCCTTTTACGTCATCTCGGGGGGGCTGCGATCTGCGGAACTGTCACCACTTTCGAGGGCTGCTGGTGGGTCCAGCGGAGTGAGGCACCACGGGGACTCAGATTAGACCTCGCCATCCCTGGGGGGGGGGGCTGCGATCTGTGAAACTGTCGCCACTTTCGAGGGCCGCTGGTGGGTCCAGCGGAGTGAGGCACCACGGGGGCTCAGATTAGACCTCGCCATCTCTGGGGGGGGGCTGCGACCTGTGAAACTTTCACCACTTTCGAGGGCTGCTGGTGGGTCCAGCGGAGTGAGGCACCACGGGGACTCAGATTAGACCTCGCCATCTCTGGGGGCTGCGATCTGTGAAACTGTCGCCACTTTCGAGGGCTGCTGGTGGGTCCAGCGGAGTGAGGCACCACGGGGACTCAGATTAGACCTCGCCATCTCTGGGGGGCTGCGATCTGTGAAACTGTCGCCACTTTCGAGGGCTGCTGGTGGGTCCAGTGGAGTGAGGCACCACGGGGACTCATATTAGACCTCGCCATCCCTGTGTGAAACTGTCGCCACTTTCGAGGCTGCTGGTGGGTCCAGCGGAGTGAGGCACCACGGGGACTCAGATTAGACCTCGCCATCTCTGGGGGGGGGCTGCGATCTGTGAAACTGTCACCACTTTCGAGGGCTGCTGGTGGGTCCAGCGGAGTGAGGCACCACGGGGACTCAAATTAGACCTCGCCATCTCTGGGGGGCTGCGATCTGCGAAACTGTCGCCATTTTCGAGGGCTGCTGGTGGGCCCAGCG